TGATTGGATTCTTAGTAAAATAGTAACATTTTACTCCTAAAACGTTACTGTGAGTAACGTTTAACGTTTTAAATTTGAAGGATTTGATTCTGCATTTGCAGGGTTGACGTGATTGGATTCTCAATAAACGTTATTGTGAGTAACGTTTTACACCTAAAATGTTACTCACAGTAACGTTTATTCATTTAACGTCGTCAGCTCCGTCAGTTTTTGTCCGTTGAATTTTTAAAATAAAAATAACCTAAAACGTTACCATGAAGTACGTTTATACTACTTTTGTAAAAAATTTAAAAAGCATATTAGTTTGGTGAATTGGTTTTTAAAATAGCTTATTTTGGTCAAAACTTCGTAAATATTAGGTGATTTCTTTCTATCTGTTTTATTATTGGTGGAGAAAGTTATGTTATATTTCTTGGTGAAAAATGATAGATATCTTATAGAATAAATTGAGTTGCGGAATAGTACCACAGTTATTAAAAAAAATCAAAATCTATACATGAGTAACAGAGTAAGCACTCTGCTTTTGTGCTGCTCAACACACTTAGCAGATTGTGGAGCAAATCATTTTACTTTGTTTTGCGTAATGTGCTTCGTAGATGTAAGGATAGGTTGTATTATGGTTTTTTGCTTTGGAGGTTTTGGTTCTCTGTCCCCTCGTAATATTTTTGCTTTTAAATAAATAAAGCAGGGGTCTACGTGAATTAAATCTCCGACCTCATGGCAGCAAGAAAAGGCTATTTTGTGCTATATTTCGGTGATATATTTCCTATCGAGACACACATATTTATACATTTCAACACAATTTAACTTTAGTCATTCCAATTCATCCTTAATGAGGAGTTCTTATAACTCACAAATGTGATGACATATAGTACATGACTTAATAGTGATAACTATATAATAAAGCATGCATGCATGCAATGTCTGGAGAACGTACGCAGGAATTTGCCAAGCCATTTTCTTACATTAAATGCACCAAATATATTGTGCAAGACATCATTGTTTAGACATCTTTCTTACATTAGAATATAAAAAACAAATGTACACATATAGCTTAAGAGCATTTCTCTTGCTGCAACAATTTTAATTTGCTTTCAAGCAATAGACCTCTTATCACAATTTGATCATGTTATTTTTTAATAGTATTGTAGATAAGAATAGGAAATCATATAGTGTTTGCAAATTGTGAAGAGAAAAAGTTATCAAGGGGCATAGCCACCACCACCATGTCCGGATCCACCCCCTTCACCACTACCATATCCACCTGCATGTCCACCCCCTTCACCACCGGCATAGGCTCCTCCACCACCGGCTCCACCTCCACCACCGCCACCGTATCCTCCTGCACCACCACCAGCACCTTCACCACCTCCGTATCCACCGCCTGATGCTCCACCAGCTCCTCCTGATGCTGAACCACCTCCACCACCATATCCACCGCTTTGTGCTCCACCAGCACCATATCCGCCACCACTTCCTGCTCCTTCACCTGAACCATGTGCTCCACCACCACCGGCTCCACCTCCACTGCCGCCACCACCACCATATCCTCCTGCAGCTCCATGAGCTCCGCCTGCACCACCACCGGCACCTTCACCACCTCCGTATCCACCACCTGATGCTCCACTAGCTCCTCCTGATGCTGAACCACCTCCATGGCCACCTCCACCGCTTGGCGCCCCACCAGCACCGTATCCACCACCACTTCCACCTCCTTCACCTGAACCAGATCCACCAGCATGTGCTCCACCAGCAGCAGCTCCACCGCCGCCATCACCACTACCTCCACCACCTTCACCGCTACCACTTCCACCGGCATAACCACCATGTTCACCAGCTACAGCTCCACCTCCACCGCCACCGGCATAGACGCCAACACCAACATCAAGACCAATAAGGGTTCTTGCAGCTGAGCATATTCCTATACTCAACAAAATAAAGAAAAATATGTTAAAAAATCTACTACTCTTCGCCATTGGAATAACAATTAAATATATTTCACAACCACGACTTATAGAATGCATGGAGTGAAAGCTATTTATAGATTTTTTTCCAAGGATAAGAAAAGCGCGTTTAAGCAAAAAGCGCATTAATGAGTAATATAATTCACTAACAGTACTATATCACAATTCACATGTTTGATTAATTTCATTTCATTTCAATTCTCAAATCCTGGCTAGTGTGCTTATTGTGCTGTCTCCCATATTCCATATCAAATATAACATATAACGGCTCCTACTTAAATTCAGCAATTGCATACGTACAATTCCAGCCCATCGATCATATCGTGTAACGAATTTGTTATATCATCGAGTTTACTTTTATCGGTTGCAACTGGTAATATATATCTTATTTCAGGATTATAAATCTCACAATAGATATATATCTTTTGAATATATCTTCGAACTTTGCACATAACAAAAGTTTAAGTGCATCAAACTGTCCTTTAATTGGCTTGGGTTCACGTTTTTTCATTTTAACGCGGGTATAAATAGTGTGTGCTATTGCAGAAACTAAAGAAAAAACACTAAGCTACACTACACTACTTGGGTGATTGACCTAATTAAGTTATTACTCTCAAGGTTTTACCTGGTGTGTGCTATTGTGAACTTATTGTTAATTTTTTGAATTTGTTTTAGCACGGTTGAAACCTATATGCTAATGTGAAAGTAATTAAGCATTATATTAATCAACTAGATTTTTTTGTTAAATCATGTATATTAGCTTAATTCAGGTTTAGCTAACACAGATCTGTAAATTTCAACATTAGGGATTAAATTGTGAGGTTTGTCCTATTTGAGATTAAAAACAATAAATCTCGATTGATTGATTACAAGGAATAGTACATAGTTGAGAGATAATTAGTATCACTGAAAATAAAATATGAGATATTGGAATGATTACGATTACATTACATCCACTAGAACAAATTTGTGCATTTTGATGAATAGATTATATAATTCTAAATGGATACTTCGGTCACTAATTCTGTACCAAAGGCTGCTGGCCTGCTTTTATATGGTATCCACAATCATATTTAATATTAATACATATGAATATAATTAGTTCCACATGCATGCAGGATAATTATCATTATTTATTTTCGTTGTAATCATTAGGTAGAAAATCATCATCAATTAGTGCAGAAAAACATAATACGAGAAGAAGAAATGACGATATCTGAGGAATAAGTATCGGCTAACTCTGTGCCAGTACAGTAGATGCAAGCGTACATTATCCGAAATAATTGGTCGTATAATAATAGTTAATCATATAGTACTGTTCAAGCTGATCAGGGTTTACATGAAAACTTACCGTTGTTGAAGAGTCCTCCGCCGGATTAAACAAAAAAGGATAAGTCTTTTTATATAGTTTTGGATAATCGATCTTTCCTCATAAACTAACTTTTAGAGTTGAGTTATACCCTCAATCTATTCTTTAAGTGTCTTATAAAGCCAAGTATGAACAAAAACTTGAAATTATTTGGAAATCACGAAGAATATGAATTTTCGACCTCTTTACTTAGCTAAGAGAGAGGGAGCTCACTCTCGCAACATGCAGGCATATCTCGTTGAATCAATCTTTTACGTGGCATCAAATATAAAGGATATCGAACCTGATAAAATCAACACATTGTGATATTAAACAATCAAACTGCTCCATTGATGAACCTTGAGTTCATATGAGAAAGGAGGAAGAAGAAGAAGATTCTGGAAAAGCTACATGTAGATTTGTTTCATTGAAAATGAATTAAAAAGTGAGTAACTATTACATCTGAATCTATATATATAGATAGACTAACTAACAGAATTAAAAATAGAATCTGACTTCTTGTAACTAACTCTAACAGTACTATAACAAACTTGTATGTAACTAATTTTGTGAATAGTTATATTCTCATCACCCCCCTCAAGTTGGAGGTAAGTGAGTTTACAGACAACTTGTTCAATAGTATATTATGCTTAACTCCAGTCAAGGCCTTTGTAAAGATGTCAGCTAATTGTGAATCAGTAGAAATGTGATGAAGTGTAATCAGGCCTTGCTGAAGTTTATCCCCTAAACAAAGTGGGCAATCGATTTCTATGTGTTTTGCCTTTTCATGGAAGCTAGATTTTTGGCAATGTGTACTGCAGCTTGACTGTCACAGAAGACCTGAATTGGCAAGGAGCAATTCACAGATAACTCTTTCAGTAACCTTTCAAACCATACCAGCTCACCTACTACTTGTCTCACAGCCCTGCTTCTGCAGAGGATAAAGAAACTGTGCCTTGTTTTTTAGACTTCCAACTGATAGGGCTATCACCCATAAGTACTAGATAACCACTGACTGACTTCCTTGAATCAGGACAGGCAGCCCAGTCTGAGTCACAATAGGCATTTACAGTAAGATCAGGCTTGTTCGAGATGAAAATTCCCATTGTAGGATCTTGTTTCAAATATCTCAGAACATGATAACCAGCCTTCAAGTGTGGTTCCCTGGGAGTTTGCATGAATTGACTGAGATGCTGCACACTATAAGCTATATCCATCCTAGTATTTGTAAGAAAATTGAGTTTCCCTATCAACTTCCTGTAATGGGTAGGATCAGACAATAATTCCCCATCTGTTGCCTTCAATTTGTCAGTAGAATCAAGTGGTGAGGTTGCAATTTTACAATTAAAAGAATCAAACTCCTTCAAGAGGTCAGTGGTGAATTTCCTTTGTGAAATAAGAACTCCATCAGGCCTGTACAATATTTCTAACCCCAAGAAGTAGTGCAATCTACCTAGATCTTTTATTTTGAACTGATCATGTAAAAAGGATTTCAAAGAGTTGATTTCCTCCAAGTCAGTTCCAGTTAAGATCACATCATCTACATATATGGCAACAAACACTAAAGAATCTTCCTTTCTCTTAAGAACAGTGAGTAGTCACTATCTGAATGTATGTACCCTCTTGAACAAAGACTGCTGGCCAATTTTTCATACCATTGTCTACTGGCCTGCTTCAAGCCATATAATGATTTCTTCAATCTGCCCACCATATTTTGACTGTTCACTGCAAGACCTTGTGGTAATGTCATATACACTTCCTCATTCAAATCACCATGAAGGAAAACATTATTGACAGCCAATTGATAAAGGTTCCACCCCCTCTTAACAGCCAAGGTTATGAGAGTCCTAACAGTGGTCATCTTGACCACAGGAGAAAAGGTCTCATTATAGTCTATTCCAGCTTGTTGAGTGTACCCCTTAACCACTAGCCTTGCCTTGAACCTCTCCACACTACCATCTGCTTTGTGTTTGATTTTGTAGACCCATTTACAACCAATATCATTCTTCCTTTGGGTAAGGGACCAGTTCCCAAGTGTTATTTGTATACAATGCTTCAAAATTCTTGTGTCATTGCCTTTTGCCAGGCAGGTTGTAAGATTACTTCTTCATATGAGGAAGGTTCACAGTCATGTGACATGTTTTCAATTAACTGTTGACTATCAGAACATAAAGTTGTAAAGCAAACACTGTCATGGTTGGATAAAAAAGAGGTGAGGGAATGGTGTGGACTGGAAGTGCTTATGGTTGAATGTAGGTTAGGAAGACTGTAATTGTATCCTTCAAGTAAGTGGGAGTGTGAAGTGATCTAGTTGTTCTTCTAAGGGAAGTATAACATCACAAGATGTGGTGGTGGGTGGGATGGATATCATGGTCTGCAGGTGAGGTTGTGTTTTTCATTCAGTATTGTTGATTATTTGATTTGTAGTGACTGCATGTGAGACGTTAGTGTCCAGTAATTCATCAATAAAAAAACATAGCTTGTTGAATTTGAAGTATAAGTAGAAGTATTTGAGTGATGAACTAGAAGCTTTAAAACAGAAGGAAAACTGGAACCATCAGGAGCAAGTACAAAAGGAAACACGGACTCATGAAAAATAACATCCCTAGACACATGAACTCTCTTGGTTGCTAGATCTAATACCTTGTATCCCTTTGTATTGAATGGATATCCAACAAATATATGTGGTGTGGCCCTTGGTTCAAACTTGTCCTTGTGAGTTTTCAAAGTAGTGGGAAAGCATAAACAACCAAAACTTCTTAGATGAGAGTATGTGGGTGGTGTATGGTATAACAGTTCATAGGGAGTTTTATTGTTTAAAGGTTTAGAAGGCAGTCTGTTAATGAGGTATGTGGTTGTTAATACACATTCTCCCTAGTACCTCATAGGTAATTTAGACTGAAATAGGAGGGCTCTTGCTGTTTCAAGGAGGTATTTGTGTTTTCTTTCAACTATGCCATTTTGTTGAGGTGTATATGGACAAGATTTTTGGTGTATATTCCCTTTGTTTGGAAAAAATGTGTGGCCTCAGTAGAAGTGAATTTCATACCATTATCAGACCTGATAGTTTTCAATTTGGTCTGGAATTGATTCTCAACAAGAGATATGAAAGCCTTAATAGTTTCTAGGGCATTACTTTTACACCGTAGTAGTTGTGTCCAAGTTGATCTAGTAAAATCATCTACCATGGTCAAGAAATAGTGATAACCATCATGAGTAGGGATGTGATATGGTCCCCATAGGTCAACGTGAAGCAGCTCAAAAACTTTACTAGTGGTGGTTGTGCTTTCTGGGAATGGCATTCTAGATTGTCTAGCCATAGGGCATATGGCACAAATGAAAGGTTGTTTAGTAGAGAAAGGAATGGGTATAGTTGGAATTACTTTTCATCTTTAACAAAAGGTACATGACCTAGTCTAGCATGCCATAAGATTTCAGTTATATGAGAGTTATCAGATTTAACAACAAAAGAAGAACAATCAGTAATGTGGCATGATGAAGAAAAATCAAGTTTAGGACAACCACCTTTATTATCAACAGAAGAATGTTTTACAGTAGGTGGTGCTGAAACTTCATGACACTTAGCTAAACAAAGAACAAAAGTACAATGACTGGAAATGACATGAGGTCTCTTGCTCCCAGTAGACAATGAACAACAATTGTGGCACTTTGAACATAAGAAATA